TCTCAGGGAATTAATAAACCATTTCTCGTATCTCTTTCGCATCCAGCTCTGTTGCTGAACTTGCAGCCGAAACCAACCCAGATGGTCCTGCGCATGAAAACGTGAAATCTACCACTTATGGCAAACAAACGTCTTCCTCACAGAGTTCCCGTGATGCCGAGGGTGCCGGGGCCATGGCTGGTATTACATTCGGCGTGACAGCATTGCTGATCGCAGTCATGGTCATTGGCTGGCGTCGCCATAAGACCATCCAAAGAGAGAGCAGCGGCTTGATGGAGCCATTGATTCCCGCTGAGTGCGACGCAGTTAATGAGCAAGGAAGCCTACGAGTTTGAATTACCCAGGAACTTTTTTCTTTTTTCCCAAACTTAACAAACGTAGATAGGAAGACCATTCAAAGAGAAACGTAGATAGGAAATTTTATAATAACTTGTTGTCTCTATAAGCGTTTTTGAAGTTGATCTTTTGTCTCAGTTTTTTCCGTAAATTCGTTTTTGAAGTGACATTATTTTCAGCACTTGTTCTAATGTAAGTGAGATGGAAGAATTAACCCTAATTTTTGAGGCGCAGACAATGTAAGCACAGGAGGTTTTGTTTGACAGAGTACTGTTACACCTGTTTACACGATGATGTTGAGTGTCGCTAAGCCAAAACCAAAATTATCAGAACTACCAATCTGAAGGAAGAAAAATACTCTAAGAGCCAATGAGAACTTAAATTAAAGATCACCGAATTACCTCAAGCGCGGGAAAACGCGAGCGACTGAGTCGTGAATTGGTTATAATTTTAATCTTGTTGGTCGAGTTTTCTGCAACAACTACAGATCGAAGAAGAACAAAACCAAAGCAATCTTGGATTATAACACTCAACTGAAAATTTTCTCCATATTGTGTTGCACAAACAGTGGATTATTAAGTTGTACTCTCTAAATACTTATATAGAACTCTGTTGATTTCGGTATAATCTTAAAAGTTATTCTGCCTTTTCAGTAGTCGGTTTAGAGAAGTTATTTTGCATTGAATCACATTGAAAAACAATGAATAGACGAATAAATGCATAAATGGATATTCAGAGAAATTATACCGACGTTAGAATTCGGATATAAACAAGGAGAGAATCTTTCAAACCTGACCATTAGATTTTCTTACGCTCCAAATGAGTTTCTTATGGCCTGCAAGTATCTAATCTCGTTCCCAGAGGTCAGGCTTCCTCCAATCCCTTGTGAGCCGGAAACGCCGAAGATTGCATTTATCAAAAGAAAGAGGGTATCCAATAATTAGACCTAAAGTAAGCATCCCACGTAAAAGTTATATGCCGTAGGGTTTTATAATTTTAAGGGTTGTTAAGCCTCGTGAAGCTGTGAGCAAATTTTTTTTCAGGGCTGTAATATAAGGAAGATAACAAGGACACGATACTCCTTTTCAAAATTCCTATAAAGTAGTTGGGGCGTTCTGGGATGGGAGGGAAAGTTCCTCTGGTTGGGTAACTGTCACGTACCTTTTGAAGGCGGTCGACCCATCTTTATACCCACCCTGTGGCTCTGCCGACCTCTGGTTGCCTATACTGCGCAAGGCTCTCGGTTTGTAGAAACGAATGAAAAGGAGCGCCCATCCCAGAAAACCGGAAGCCCGTCACCGTGTAAACATGTCCAACGTGCGCTGCAGGGTTCTGCGGGAGAGATGACAGGTAGTCGCCGTATGTATCCTTTATCAAATTGGTTATATGAGTTATGAATTTGGCCATAATTGGCTTAAAAAAAATTTCAAACATAAACCGCAGTTTCTGTCACTTCGAACAAAAAAAATTGACTTTTTCGTTGAGTAAAAGACCCATTTCGCAAAAATAAATTTTCGCAGAAAGTGCGTGAACGATTTATATGCACTCATTGTGATGCACCCAGAAGAGTAGGCAAACGAATCAAAATATCATTGACTCCATAATGCGCAAAATATTCGAAAATTATAAAAGATATTTTATAAAAACACTGTAATCAACTCACGTTTTGTACGAAACGGCAAACTAGTTGTCGCAAACAACACACCTACGGCTGGAATTTACGGGGAACGGCTACCGGAAGTAAGTAAACACGCATTCAAACTTCCGCCCGCTGTCGTAGACATCCGCCTTCCTCGGATCTTAAGGTCCCCTAAAACCCGCTTTTAAAAGTATTTTGTCTTTGGCGGGCACGACGGGACTCATCCCAGCTTCCCGTCCTGGTATCCTAAGGTCCCTAGTAGCGTTGTATGTGACGTCAAAACGAAGTGTCTAAAACATGAGTAAGTTTCTCTTATTTTAAGGTCATTTCAAATGGATTTATCGTATTTTTTCAATATATAATGAGCTGTCAACATTTTTCCTAGTTTGTGACAAATGTAAATGGTTATAGAACTCATTTAAAGGCGAAAACTGACCTAAGTTTCTTTCTCCTTCAAAACAGCTCCAAAAGTTCGTGACTCAAATAAGCTTAAATTGAGACGAGTTCAAAGGAAATAGTCTAGTAGGTTGTTTTCGGTTCATATTCTTAATGAATATTAAAACTAAACTTGGAATTTTAATTTAGATAATTTACCCGAGTTTGTTTAAGGAAAAAATCACTGAACCTAGATATTATTGTGGTTTTTCAAATCAAACGTGGAGTGGACCGAGGAACATGACAATTGCTTGTGTCAAGAAATTTTAGTACTTGAATACTTTAAGTACAAAAAAGTAAGCATTTCTAGAAGCAAAATCTAGGAAAAATGGCAAACAATCTGAACGGCCTTAAACTTCCTCGATTCAGAGTCAGTAACCGTGCTTTTAGAGAAAAATACACATTGCTGAGTGAGAAATTTAAAGCAAAGATAAAAGACGAAGAGAAGGCAAGTGGAATTGAACGTGATTTGAGTGACGTGGAAAAGGCTCTGGAAGAAATAGCCGAAAGAGAAGCTGCAGCTGAAGACACCGTAGAAAACGATAAGAAGAAAGCTGACAACGCAAAAGCAGCGGAAATGAGAAACAGAGCACTAGAAAGCCTGAGCGGAACACAGAAAAGGCAGCGAAACGAAGAGGAGGAGAAAGTAAAGCCAAAGTAAAAAGGTCGTAGAAGTGGAGGTGACGCAATTGCATATTTGCGCGAAAAAAATGATCTTGTTTAGAAGTGGAAAGAAGAAGAATTTCAGCCGCAAAACCAGCGAGTTGATGTTGAGGGTAAACGGGAAGATCGATCAAGAAAACGACATCAGCATATGATGAAAGTCTTGGTGGAACAGACTAAGCAGCAGCAAGAGCAGATGCAAAGTTTCAGCAGATGTTTACCTTAACGCAACAAAAGCAGTCTCAAATAATTATGAAGCTTCTAGAAAAACAAAATTAACTTGGCTTGGTTTTGCACGATGATGTTCATAATATGTTTGATTTTGGTTGTGAATACTTCAATGGTTTATCAGGCAAGTTTATACTTCACGTTGTTGTTTCTTTTTATACCTAAAATCTTACATTGTATCAAGACTTCGACAAACTGATAGACTCGAATGATATCCATATTTTGATCACTTTATTAGCAACTTATCTACACTTCAAAATAATGACATATCATGTTGCCAAAACTTTGTATTAACACATTAAAGAAAAATATTTGCAAAGGTTTATGTAGGCGTTCTGACTTCAACGAGTCAAGTGATGTTGTCACATAAATATTTAACCGGAACAGTATACGTGCCGTTTCACTTTCCAATACTAAGTGACATCCTTACATCAGATAAGTCAAACCACTCAACAAATATAGAAAAGTATAGAGTGGTTTGGTTAACATGATAAGATCAAGACGGACATGTTTTTCTCTGTTATTGCGAGTATTGTCTTGTCGTATGATTTTGTATTTCTATCAAACCGCGTTATTTTAGCAGAATAAAATTATGCACTTCGCAGGAAATGACTCAAAATATTGAGACGTTGACGATACACATACAATTTTAATTCTTAAAGGCATAGATGTTCGGATGATAAGTGATATTTTGTCTACTTCGCAAGGGATTTTCGGGACATCACCCAATGCTGGGGCAGATGA